TAAAAAGATTAAGTACAATAATAATTCGAAAAAATCATGGAAATTATTAAAATCATGAAAATTACAAAAATCATGTAAATCATAAAAAAATTATAAAAATCATAAAAATCATGAAAATTTCAAAAATCAGGAAAATTACAAAAATCACGAAAATTATAAAAAATTACAAAAATCACAAACATCATGAAAATATCAAAAATCATTAAAATTCACATAAAGCATGAAAATTTCCAAAAATTATAAAAATTCCCAAAAAATCATGAAAATTTCAAAAATCATAAAAATTTAAGAAAATTGCAAAAGATTACAAAAATTCGAAAAAAACCATAAAAATTAAGAATAGGAAAATTACAAAAATTACGCAAATCATGAAAGTTTACAAAATTCACAAAAATCATAAAAATTTTCAAAAATCATAAAAATCATGAAAATTTTAAAAATCAAAAAAATTCACAAAAAATAAAAATTTAAGGAAATCAAGAAAATTACAAAAATCACGAAATTCATAAAAATTTACAAAAATCATAAAAATCATGAAAATTTTAAAAATCAAAAAAAAGCCATGATTTTTGTGAATAAAAATCATGAAAAATTTCCAAAAAATCATAAAAATTCACAAAAAATCATAGAAAGTGGTCTACAGTAAAAAGTGAGTAAAATTCCCGGTCAAAAATTAATGAAACTCGTGGTAAAAATGAGTAAAATTCGAGGTCAAAATTGAGTAAAGTTCTTCGGTAAAATCTAACCTTTGACTATAAATCATGGCCAATCAGAATCCTACATTTTCATGTATTCTCTTCAATGTTTGCTAAATAGGTAATTGAAATTTTTCTCAGGTCAAAACCAAAAATACTGGCATTACGATAGCGAGGGCGTTACAGAAGACTCCGACACCCCGGAAGGTTTCTATTTGGAATTGCGAGAGCCGACACGTCTTTGCATCAAAACCACTACAGGAAATTATTTGACTGCCAGCAAAAACGGATGTTTACCGTATGGGCCGACAGTTCCATAGAAAACGCCACCCAATGGGAATATTAATAAAGTTATTTCGTCGATGTTTGTTTTGTTTTGTGTAATCAACAATTATTTCAGCCCGTTTCTGACTTTTTAAGGCTGTTTATTTATTTAGGATTTTAAGCAATTTTAAATTTATTATTATTAGCAGTTGAGGGTCACATGACAATTTTTTCCAAAAAGAGAATAAAGTTGTAACTTTTCCAGGTATGTATTTCATTAATTGTGTTGCGAAACAGCTTACAAAATATATCAATATATTTGAAAAATCGTTTAAACTTATTGAGCCGTCACTGTTTTACTACTATAAATTTGTGATTATTATTATTTTTTTTAAATATGTTTAAAACAACAAACTGCCAGAAAACTGGGCCTTTTTATACACTTTTGATACAATTTTAAAACCTGATTTCAATCAGAGAAAACTTACTTATTTATTTTAATTTTTATAAAAACATGTATGTATATACAAAAAATGCTTTCAATGTAATACAATTATTTTGCTCTTCTTTCTAAAGAGAAGTCGTTAGGTACCGGATGATGTGCATTTTATACTTATTAACGTGAGAATTTTATAGCTCAAACTTATGATATACCTTTTTTTTACATATCCTATATTATATAGTTAATAAGGTGTATTTTTGTGAGCGACTTATATTTTTTAAGTAGTTTTTTTATAGCTTTTTTTATATTATAATAGCGTGGGTAAATGTAATAAAGCGTCTTTTTTTGTATGATAAAAATATAAATTGTAGCGAGTTATTATTTAAATATATACTTAGTCACATGGTATAGAAATTTGTTTTATTTTTTGGTGTCCTGGAATACCATTTTAAGAACTTGGAAAGCAATAATAGAGCACTGATATTTATACGAAAATGACTCCAATTTTAACTTTTAATGGACATTAAATCACTTCTTGCCGGAAGTTTTGAAACATTGCAGGTTTCTAGATTTGGATGTCCAGAACTGAAATTCACAAAATGCACAATCCGAAACATACCGCCGGCGCCGCCATCTTGCCAAGATGGCGCCCAAAAAAGGGTTTTTGCAAATATCTTTAAAACTATGCGTTTCTGGAAAAAGTATGTGGAGCGCAAAATTGAACAGGAGGACATTTCCTATAAAATATGATCCTAGTATATTTTCGCTAAAATGAACCGTTAAGGCACAAATGCCCTCGCCAAATTAAAAATTTTGCGTAAATTTTCTGTAGAGGCGAATTTCGGAAAAATATGTGCAGTAGGGGGTCCTTAAATCTAATATTTTCACCTGTCACCTGAGCGTGAGTATACCTGTCCATCCTGGTATGATTAAGTGACAGGTAGATGTAAATGCATATGAAATGTGTTTATTTCTTGGACATTAAACTACCTGTATCCTGTATCTCAAAAACTAGTCATAGGATTAAGTTGTGCCCATGGTAGTTATTGATCAGAAAGGTGAGATCTATGACATACTAAAATTTGGTTAAGTTTGACCGCGGTGTTCGGGGTCCTTTCTAGAATTTTTAGTAATGTCCCGATATGTTCTTCGTGACTTCACATTTTAGGTAGAAAAATTCGTTGTAAATGAGTCAATTTGGGGGACGCACGGACCCCTAATAAGAGCGTTTTCATTTTTAATTTATATTTTGTCAAAAAGGGACTCTTGTTTTTCAAAAAAAAAGAATGCAGAAAATCCTAGCTTCAGTTGCTTTGTGCAATAATTATTACAAATCTGAAAATTAATGAAAGCATTGAGGGGGTTATATTTATACCTACTCATAGCTCACCTTCGATAAATGACTGTAAGCCCCACTCTAGAAGGGCAACTTTCAGGGGCGTAGTCACCGGTGTTCCGCGTGTTCCACGGAACACGGGCCCGGTAGCTCAAGGCCCGGTTCGACATGTCAATAATATTTTTTCTCCTATTAAAGCCGGAGTCTCATGCATCCGTTTTTTCGACGAAAAATGTTCGAAAAGCCCTCTATTCTGACATAATCGTATGAAAATCTGTCAAAATAGAAGGTTTTTCGGATATCTTTCGTCGGAAAACGGATGCATGAGACTCCGGCTTAAGTATAAAAAATCATGTGCAGCGCCGTACACGTAGTAGAACTGGAACTTCTTAAAAAATACCCCCCGGCCCCCCTCATACAACTTTAAGACTAATGAAATACCTACCGCACAAAAGGGAGATGCGCATCTATACTGACGTCACAGGGGTATTGGCACTTCACAATAATAGGCAATCCTCTTTGCGCTTATAATTCTTGGTAAGTGGAATCAATGTTATAATGGCTGTCTTTCTCCGTCTTTTTACGTCTTATATTTTTCCTCTCTCTCGTGTAACGAAATTTGCCAAAACGTGACGCGTCTTTCAAATCATTCTCCATTGTTCTCCAAATATCAGACCGCTGCCTAAGAAGTTTTACTTCAAAAATATATTTGAAGTTAATTTATATGAAAATAAAAATCATGTGTAGCATCGTTAATAAGGAGTGAAACTTCCTTAAAAACTATTCCCTCCCTCATGCAACTTTTAGACTTCCGAGTATGAGTCAAGGTAAAGCACTAAAGGTATCAGCGCTTGACAATAATAGGCAATCCTCTTTGCTCATAATCCTTGGTTTGTGTCAATCGTTCGTCGGCTGTCATTGTTATTGGCGCCGGTCATTGGCTTTCTTTCTCTGTCTCTCTACGTTATATCTTTCTTCTCTCTTGTCTATCGTGCGTGTAACGAAATTTGCCAGAACGTGGAGCTACGTGACGCGTCTTTCAAATCAGTCTCCATTTTCGTCCAAATATCAGACCGCCGCCAAAGGGCCGGTTTCTCAATAGCAAGTCACCCCTGGGTTACCTAAGCTTAACTCCAGGGTGAACATTGCAACTGGACACGTTTACCCTGGAAACCGACCCTAAGAATTTTCACTTCAAAAAAAAAATATATATATATCTATATCTGCGTAGGTGAAGTCGTCGATTCTTATATTCGTATGTAGACTTATTTGACTTATGATTTCTTTTTATTCTTTCACAATTTTCGATTTTACGGCTTATTGCGTGTCGTATATCTCCAAAATTCATTAGTACGGCCGAACCACTCCATAGTATGTCAGGATTGCCAGGTATGCCAACTTAAGATCCTGCAATCTCTGCATTGCGCTTTGTTGTGCTCAAGGTTGTTTGAGAGAAGGAGGTTGCCTGATAACTTTATGACGTCATCTGGGGGTGCAGATACATAGTGCAGATACATAGTGCAAATCTCCATAAGGCCACCTCAGATGCGTCATCAAGTTACCCATTACCAGACAACCTCATATTGAATATGTTCCATACTTTAGGTTCACCCTGTATATTTGAAAAAGAAATATATATAACTATCATTTTCCAATTTTTTCATCTCGCAGGGGTAGGGGCCCGGTAAAATTTTCGAACACAGGCCAGAAGGATCGTCACTACGCCACTGGCAACTTTACACGCCATTGTCAGACCAGTGCCAGTGTAAATCCAAAATCCAAGGTTATAAATGATAAATAATTCAAAATGATTTAAAAAACTCACCAACCGGCACCAACGCAACGCACTAACTAATCAACGCTTACAGCAAAAAATGGCGCGACACGACACAAACACCTGATCACAAATGAGCGGGCTCATGCTACATGCTTGCACGGAAGCAATAATTGGAATGCACAGAAAAATTACAAAATAAACCATTAGGGCCGCTTCGGGTTGTTTCGTGAATAGCCGAAGCCAATAACGGCCCGCTTAAGTTTATTATGGCTATAACGCACATTTTAAAGACTGAAAATCAACTACTAGTTGTTAAAAAACGTATATCGATGGATATGAAGATCAATTTTAAAGATCGTGTGTAGTAACCATATTAAAATATCTAGCTACTGTAGTAAATTCGTATGAAGAAATTTGAATACAACACATTAGTAAATTAAATTTTCAACAAGAGTAAAGTATTTTATAGGAGCTCATATATAACTATAGGTGATAATGAGGATAATTCAACAAAGAATTTTTAGCAACCATAAAAATACGTTATTCAGTAATAGATAGATAATGTATGGCAGTTATTAGAGATATTTTGTCTGCAATGAATAAAATTCCAGTAAGACAATTTAAGAATTCGTTTTCCTCAGTGCAATGTCGCAAAATTTCAAGTCTTCAGTACGAAGTACGAATTATTTAAAAAGTGCGTATCATCAGATTTCAATAGGTACATAATGATGACAAACCTTTTAGAGCATTCGAAGCAGGTGGATACGACTTCATCAGTTTCGACGCATCCCTTTTGGAGTAACGAATGGGAATGGGGCATCTGGCTTTCGAAGGGTTATTGACAATATAATTGAGAAAGAGCGCTTGAATGGATCAAGAAAATCATGACTTTAAATCTTCAGAACATCATGCGAGCGATTGAGAAATACAACGTGACACTAAATAAAGAAAAGTGCACTTTTTCATCGAGATCAATAAATATGCTAGGTTTATAAATATAAAAAAAAAAAAAAAAAACAATCTTTAGCCCAATCCGGACAGACTCGAGCCACTATTCAGTCTACCTGTACCACAAGATGCGGCCTTTTTACGTCGGAGTACTTGGCATGTTTTCTCATTATTCCAAATAGATACCAAAACTTCCTGACAAAACACAGAGCCTGATAAACTTCAAAATTTTTCCAATACCCCAGAATGCGACAAAAGATTTTGAAAATATTAAAGTTGATACATATAGCTAATTCTCTCATCTGATCTATAAATGAGACCGAGATCCTGGTAGTTGAAACTAATGCGTCTATTTCGCCATCGCTGCTACACTTAGCCAAACAGGAAGACCAGCAGCGTTTTTTTCAAAAAATTTATCTGATAGTGAACGAAGACACTTATGAATGATGGAATAAAAAAAGAAGCTTGTGCTATTGTTGAAGTTTTGCGGAAATGGAGACACCTTTTAGGACGCAACTTTGAACTTATAACCGATCAAGAAGTTGTTTCATTGGCTGGCTCAAGTTGACCCACCACATTCGGATCTATACTGTTTCTCAATTGTAAGTCAATTATGCTCGTTTTGTGCTCAATTGTGCCGGTGTTTATGCGAATTGTGCTCATTCCCATACAGCAAAAAAAAAATTGAATAAAACCGGGGGCCAGCTTGACTTCAGCCCCCGGTTTTTTTGACTTTTTGTCAATATTTTTGGCTCATTGAATTGTGCTCGTTTTGTGCTCAATTGTGCCGGTGTTAATGCAAATTGTGCTCATTCCCATATACCAAAAAATAAATAAAAATGAAATAAAACAAATCCGTGAGGGGGGCTGGAGTCAAGCAATTCAATTTTTTCTTGTACATG